TCTGATTCCATGATAACATGTATTTTGAGAGAAAAACATCTAGTTCACGTATTACAAATGACCAACTAATATTTATAGTAATACAAATTTAACAAACTATTTACAAGAATACTTTTACTAATTTATTAGGCAAGCTTGTCAATCTTAGGAATTAGGCAAATGAAGGAATCATTAATGCTGATTGGAAAGGGTTGGAGATCAATGGAGTCATTATTCTTCGTCAGAGAAGGAGCTACAAGATCCCAGTATTTCTGGAAAAATATGGGATAAAAGAAGCTATCTAGGCCCGGAGCCTTAATGGTGTTAAATTTAGGAACAACTTTTTTGACCTCTTGGGAAGTTGGTTTGAAAGACAAATTTCTTGGTTTGTTCATGGAGGTTCCAAAAAAGGGAGAATGAAAAGGTTCAAAAAGAAGTGAAGTAAAATGCTTTGAGAAGAATGGGGAAATATGATTGTCTAGATCATGCTCCTGATCTAACCAATTGCTAACCTCATTTCTCAAAAAGCAAGGATTTTGTTATTTCCCACCCGTCAGATTGAAGTAATCTAGAGGAACTTCAAGTTCAGATCATCCCAAACAAGATAGTTAAATGCGAGATTTAAGGGCCACAAGCTTTCTCTTTAACTAGAATAGACTCAAGTTCAGCTTGGCGGTTTAATTTTCTAGATTATACAAGAAAAATTGAATGCTTATTATGCATGACATTCTGAATCCTTGCTAATGTATTTAAAATTTTTTGCTTCTTAACAAAGACATTTCAGAAATTGGTCTTACTCCAATCTTTAATAGTGTCAGGCACGGATGAGGGGCAGGAGCGGTCATCAGCCTGAGCTGTTCACGGCTAGATTTTGGCCCAAAAAAATGTGTGGTCCAGATCACTTATTGTACCTCGATTTTCACAGTGTGTGTGGGGCCCACAAAATTTTGTACTAAAGTTACAAGTTGTGCAAACATAGTTATGCCGTGTGTAAATAAATTTACGCGGTGTGCAAAATGTACAAAATCGCCAGGCAGGAAAGAGAGAACATCTTTAATTGCAGAAGGTAAAAGACTGTTGAATGACTAGTGAAAAGGAAAAGTGTCAAGTCAAAGCTTTTCTAGATGAAGAGGTAGTGGTCTTAGGATGTATGTTGAGCAAGACACGGCAAAGATCAGAGTGGCCGACAGAGGCTTCAGGAAATAAATTGCGCCATTCAGGGTTACAAAAGGCACGATCTAGTCTCTCTTAGATTAAACCCCCGGCTTTGCAGTTCCTAATCCAAGTATATCTAGGCCCTGCAAAACCCAAATCCAAAAAATTACAAGAATTTGGAGACAGATTAATGAGGTTGCCCCAAACTTATCTGCAGGGATTAGAACTTCATTAAAATCTCCTAAACATAACCATGGAAATTTAAAATCTTGGGCATTTGCAACAACATGCATTTAGATTTTCCCAAATATTTTTCCTTTCCTCAAAATGAGGACTCGCATTGATAGGTTGTTGGTCAATCAAATATAAATTACCCATTCCACTAAATAAAAATTAGAATACAGTTATAAATATGATCATCTCCACAAGGGTCAAATGATTTATCCTTTTCCAAAGCAACAGCTTTCTCCCTTTTCCAACATCACCCTAGTCCCTCCTAGTCTGCTAGCCCATCCCTACCGCTGGACTCTCATCTATCCATTACCTCACCTTTCCTTGTTTTACCCCAAGCCCATTCTTCCTTCCCTTCAAACCCTATCATCTATGACTCCCTACCTCCTGCTTACCCCTTTGTAGCTTCCCTTACTCCTAAACCCTTTGGCCTCTCCCCATCCACCCCTTGCTGCTACCTCCCTCCTCTTCTCAGGGCACTAGGCTAGCAATGATTTGTTTTATTTGCTTATTTATTTATTTTTTGGATGTTTTTCTCGAAGTTGTTTTGGGTGCTTTGGATGCCAACCCATTACCACTGTCTTTCTCGTGCTACTGTTGCTGTGTTTTGGGTATTATGAGGAGTTAGGGGCAATGGAGTTCTTTTTCTTTTTTAAAAAATGTGTTTATGCTTTTATTCTTTTTGCCTGTTCTTTTGGATATTTTTTGGTATGTTGATATTTTGTTGCTTTGTCAATATTTTGTTGTTTTATCGATGTTTTTGTTGCTTTGGGTGTTTTCTATTGATTTTTTCCACATCCTACATTTGTTGATTTTTTTCACAGCCCACAAATTTGATTTTTGTGGCAAAATTTGTAATCCCACATCGGTTGGCTCAAGGATTGGGAAGGCTATTGAGAGTTATAAATAAACTCTCTACCTTCCCAATCCAATTGTACCAACACCAAAGAATTACACCAACATTTGTAATTCTTTCTTCTCCTAAATTATAAAAGCGGGCAACTTGAGCGGTGCTCGGAGATTAGGCAAAATTGGCCGAACTCCGTTATCAATTTTTCGGGTACATTCTTTTCTTATCTCTTTTATTTATTCCGCATTTATTTGGTAATTTCTTTTCAATTGTAGTATAGTATTCAATATATTTGTCGGATTTATTTGTAGTGTTTTATACAGTTCATTTGGGTGTATTTTTTATTCGTGTATACGTATTATTTATGTATACACGGGTCTAGTTGTGATAATACACCGTGCACGTAAATTCTGCCTAGGAGACTGGCTTTAAGTGGGACCACTTGTGACCCCTCCAGCCTTTCCTGAAAATTTACGTGGAATGGTAGTTCTGTCTAAGGAGATTATTTTAACAATTTTTCCTGAGAATTACTGAATCGGTTTAAATCACTAATTGAATTTTTGAGTGAAAAATTATCCGATTTTCCCAACAAGTGATATTAGAGCCAAATGTTCGTCCTTTGGCCTGTTTGTAATTTTTTATATATTAAATACTATTATTTGAGTCTGTAATGGCATCAGATAATTCCACGTCAAAAATTACATCTAGGACATCAGTTTCTTCGTCTACTTGATCGAGGATTTCAATGTCAAGTTTGAAACTGGCGGTGGAGATATTTGACGGCACTGGCTATTTCGGCATGTGGCAAGACGATGTCATAAATTTCCTTTTCCAACAGGGTCTTGATATTGCCATTGAAGAAAAAAAATCATATGACATAGAAGAGAAGGAGTGGAGTACCATAAATCGGTTGGCATACGAAACTATTCGATCGTGTTTGTCCAGAGAGCAAAAGTATTTTTTCAAGAACAAGACTTCTGCATGGAAATTGTGGAAGACATTGGAGGAGAAATTTCTGAAGAAGAGTGGTCAAAATAAATTCCTTATAAAGAAGAGATTGTTCCGATTCGATTACCAATCAGGTACTACTATGAAAGAACACATCACTATATTTAATCAGTTAGTAGCAGACCTGTTAAATTTAGATGTGAAATTTGAAAATGAAGATTTGGTTTTGATATTGTTATCATCCTTTCCCGATAAATTTGAACATTTGAAAACTACGTTATTTCATGGGAAGGAAAATATGTCTTTAGATGTTGTATGTTCTGTTTTGTATAGTTATGAATTGAGAAAGTAAGATAAAATAAAAAATAAAATAGCTACAGTAGATGAAGCGTTAGTGGCAAGAGATTGTCAACAAAATCAATCAAAGGAGAGAAGAGGAAGGTCCAAATCGAAAAGTAGAGTTGCTAAAGATAAGTGTGCTTTCTGTCGTGAGAAAGGACACTGAAAGAAACACTGTCCAAAATTAAAGAAGAAAGGAAAAGCTCCGCAAGACATAAATGTTGCAAAATGCAAAAGTAATGCAGAATCAGATTTCTCTTTGGCTGTATCACCTTTAACATCCCATCCAGATGAGTGGATTTTGGATTCAACTTGTACCTACCATATGTCTCCCATGCGGGAGTGATTCTTTGAATTTAAAGAACTTGATAGTGGAGTTGTGTACATGAAAAATGACAATCCACGTAGAACAGTTGGGATAGATTCAATCAAACTCCGTAATCATGATGGATTCACTAGAATCTTGAAAAATGTTCGATACGTGCCGAATTTGAAGAGAAATCTCATCTCCTTGGGACTCTTAGAGTCAAAAGGCCTGGAAGTGAAGATGTAAGATGGAATTCTTAAAATAACTTTGGGAGCACTTGTGATGTTGATAGGCGTGAGGAAGAATAATCTGTATTACTACCAAGGTAATACAGTTGTTGGGACAGCAGCAGCAGCAGCAACATCTTTTGTAGCAAGAAGGATGCGGAGGCAACAAACTTGTGGCACATGCGATTGGAACATGCTGGTGAAAAATCCTTGCAAAATCTTGCTAAGCAAGGGTTGTTGAAAGGTACGAAAGCTTGCAAATTAGAATTTTATGAGTATTGTATTCTAGAAAAACAAAGAAGAGTGAAATTTGGCACAGACATTCATAATACTAAGGGTATTTTGGATTATGTACATTCAGATGTATGGGGACTTGCTAAGACTCCATCCCTTGGAGGCAAGTACTATTTTGTTACTTTTGTTGATGATTTTTTCATAAAAGTTTGGGTGTTTACTATGAAGAACAAGGGTGAAGTGCTAGAAATTTTTCTTAAATGGAAAGCTCAGATTAGAAATTAGACGGGAAAAAAGATTAAGGTCCTCTGAACAGACAACGGTGGAGAATACAAGAATGATCCTTTCCACAAGATATGACAAGAATGTGTCATAGTTCGGCACTTCACAGTTAGAAGAACACCGCAGCAGAATGGGGTGTCAAAGTGTATGAACAAAACACTAGTGGAGAAAGTACGTTGCATGCTGTCTAATGTTGGGTTAGGCAGAAAGTTTTGGACTGAGGCTGTGACATAAGCTCAATATCTCGTCAATCGTTTGCCATCATCTGCAATAAGTGGCAAGACTCCATTAGAGGTATGGTCTGGAAAACCTACAACAGATTATGATTTTTTTGCGTATTTTTGGTTCTACTACATATTATCATGTAAATGAATCAAAGTTGGATCCACGTGCAAATAAGGATCTCTTTATGGGCTTTAATGCTGGAGTTAAGGGATACTGGTTGTAGTGTCTAGAAGCAAAGAAGATCATTACCTTTGATGAATCTGCCATGTTGAATAAGGTAGCACAAGAGGGACCAGTGGTACTCCGCAACAGGTGGAGTATACGCCGAAACAGGTAGAGTTTGAGTAAATACTGGTGAGTCCAACAAACAACACCATCAGTGACTCTCCCATGGCAAAAGAAGAATCGAATGAGGAAGAGATTTCTACCCAAGAACCTCAACAGCAACAAGAGTCAATTGCCGTCAATAGGCCAAGACGAGAAATTCAAAAACCTGCTCGTTTTGCTGACATGGTGGTCTATGCACTTCCAGTTGTTGATGATGTTTCATCCACATTTTCTGAAGCAGTTCGAAGTACAGAAAATGGTAGACGGAAAAATGCTATGGAAGAAGAGATGCAATCACTTCAGAAGAACAAAACGTGAAAGTTGACACAACTACCGAAGGGCAAGAAGGCAATTGGATGCAAATGAATATTTACAAAGAAAGAAAGATTTTCTGACAAGAATGATGTTCGCTATAAGGCAAGATTGGTGGTTAAACGCTACACTCAGAAGGAGAGAGTTGATTATAATGAGCGTCAAAGAAGCAAGTTGAAATTGACAAAATGAAGGCTCAGTTGAGTAACGAGTTCGAGATGAAGGATTTGGGAGAAACCAAGAAGATTCTCGGCATGGAGATAAACAGGGATAGAATGAGAGGCAAGTTTTGTCTGACACAGAAGCAGTATTTGAACAGGGTACTACAACGTTTTGGTATGAATGGAGATTCAAAACCTGTAAGTACTCCGTTTGCTCTTCATTTGAAACTTAGTAGCCTATTATCTCCAAAGACGAATGAAGAGCGAGCATACATGGCAAAAGTCCCGTATGCTAATGCAGTTGGTAGTTTGATGTATGCAATTGTGTGTACGAGACCCGACATTTCACATGCAGTTAGCGTGGTAAGCAAGTTAATGCATGTTCCGGGCAAGAGTCATTGGCAAGCTGTGAAATGAATTCTACGGTATATCCAAAATACTGTAAATGTTGGATTAGTATTTGAGCAGGATGAATCACTTGATCAATGTGTAGTTGGGTATTGTGATTTTGATTATGCAGGTGACTTGGATAAGCGACGTTCGACAACTGGCTACTTGTTCACATTTGCCAAGACGCCAGTTAGCTGGAAGTCTACTTTGCAGTCAACAGTGGATTTGTCTACAACAGAGGTAGAGTATATGGCGATTGCTGAAACTGTAAAGGAAGCAATTTGGCTTAAAGGATTGCTTGAAGACTTGGGAGTTAGTCAAAAACACATTGACGTGTTTTGTGACAGTCAGAGTGCTATTCATTTAGCGAAAAACCAGGTCTTGCACCCAAGAACGAAGCACATTGATGTTCGCTATCACTTTGTGCGGGAAATTCTCGAAGAAAAGGAGATTTTTCTCTAGAAGATTCGGATTACGGAGAATCCTGCAGATATGTTAACCAAAGTGGTTATAAGATCCAAGTTTGAACATTGTTTAAACTTGATCAACATCTTGCAAATTTGAGTTAGTGCCTGAGGGCGCAAATTTGAAAGCACCCCAAGGACCGTTTGTTATTGTTGGTTGGGTGAGAAAATTTGTAATTTTTGGTGGGATTAGAAATTATATCAAGATGGAGTTTTGTTGATTTTTTCCATAGCCCACATTTGTTGATTTTTTCCACAGCCCACAAATTTGATTTTTGTGGCAAAATTTGTAATCCCACATCGGTTGGCTCAAGGATTGGGAAGGCTATTGAGAGTTATAAATAAACTCTCTACCTTCCCAATTCAATTGTACCAACACCAAAGAATTACACTAACATTTGTAATTCTTTCTTCTCCTAAATTATAAAAGCGGGCTGCTTGAGCGGTGCTCGGAGATTAGGCAAAATTGGGCGAACTTCATTATCAATTTTTCGGGTGCATTCTTTTCTTATCTCTTTTATTTATTCCGCATTTATTTGGTAGTTTCTTTTCAATTGTAGTATAGTATTCAATATATTTGTCGAATTTATTTATAGTATTTTATACGGTTCATTTGGGTGTATTTTTTTATTCGTGTGTACGTATTATTTATGTATACACGGAGTTAGTTGTGATAATACACCATGCACGTAAATTCTGTCTAGGAAACTGGCTTTAAGTGGGACCAGTTGTAACCCCTCCAACCTTTCTTGGGAATTTATTTGGAATGGTAGTTCTATCTAAGGAAATTGTTTTAACGATCTTTTTTGGGAATTATTGAATCGGTTTAAATCACTAGTTGAATTTTTGAGTGAAAAATTACCCGATTTTTCTAGCATTTTCAATATGTTAATGAAAATGTGTCTTAGTAAAAGTACAATTTCTCTATAACAGGCTAACCAATCGAACCCACCCATTGATTATAAGAGGACAATTATAGGAAAGGATTGTTGGCCTTACTATGCCATGCCATTATGCTTAATTACACTTTCCACAAGACTACCTTTAGGAGTTTAATGGGTGCAAACACGAATGCCTAAAACTTCTGAAACCAGTTATGTGATGTCTTGTTTCAAGCTCATAAAAACGCTATGTGATGACATTAAGGCTCTAACTCGAAACTTTTGGTGGGGACAGCGAGGGGAGGAAAAGAAATTGTGTTGGTTGAAATGGGACCAGTTATGTGGACCAAAATCAGGAGGAGGTTTGGGGTCAGAGACATGGAGGCTTTTAATCTTGCTTTATTAGCAAAACAAGGTTGGAGAATAATTAAAAATCCTGATTCCTTGGCAACCAGAATCTTAAAGGGCAAATATTTTGCTAAGACAGATTTTCTTAATGCCAAATTAGGAAGCAACCCATCTTATTTATGGAGAAGTTTATTAGAAGGAAGAAATTTACTGAATAGAGGCATTGTGTGGAGAGTGGGTGATGGCACCGACATAAAGGTCTGGGATGATCCTTGGATTCCTTGTCCTCTATCCTTTAGGGTGTCACAAGGTTCAAAAACTTTGTGGCCGGATGCTAGAGTATGTGACTTAATTGACACCCATTCTGGGGACTGGAGGCTGGACTTGCTATATGATCTATTCTTGAGTTATGAGGTGCAGATTATTCTGAAAATTCTTGGTGGACAAAGGATGCGATAGTGTGGTATTATAAACATGATGGCTGTTTTGATGTACGGTCAGCATATCACTTAGCAAGATCCTTGAAGAGGTTGGAAGAAGGTGGAGAGGGTGCATCATCTAATAGTAATGAGAAGGCTTTCTGGCTCAAAATATGGAATTTGAACATTCCTCCAACGGTCAGAATCTTTGTTTGGAGAGCATGCTTTGGCATTTTGCCTACTGGACAGAATTTATCAGCTAGACTTGGGAAAGGAGTAACAAGTTGCAGATGGTGTGGTTGTAATGAAGAGTCTGATAAGCATATATTTTTTGAATGCGGTTTTGCTCAAGAAGTTTGGTTGAGAATGGGAATGCTAAAAGCAGTTTACAAGCCTACTGTCTCAAATTTGAAAGATTGGTTTGATTGTTTCTTGAAGGTTCAGGGTAACCAAATAACAAAACTCATCACGGTAACCATGTGGATGATTTGGAGAAGCCGGAATCAAAAAATATTTGAAGGCAAGGATAGGGATGCGACTCAAGTGGATGAATATGCTCAGGCCTTCTTGCATGAGTATTGGAGTATCCATACTAAGAAGGGACCACAAAGAAATGTAATGCATAACAAATGGGTAGCACCAGAAGAGAATTATCTAAAAATTAACATGGATGGAGCTTTTTCTGAAACTGCAGCTGGAGTTGGTGTGGTGGTAAGAAATCACTTGGGCCAGGTTGAGGCTGTAATGGCTACACGGGTCTTTGGAGCTCATAATGCTGAACATGTGGAATGCTTGGCTTTTCTCAGTGCTTTGAAGTTTGCAAGAGATTTTGGTATCACACATTTTTTGCTAGAAAGGGATGCTTTAAATATTGTTGAGAGGATTAATAGCGATGAACAAGATTTGTGATTGCTAGGTAATTTAATTCATGGCATAAGATCAATGTTGGCTGTATTTGATTTTGTCAAAGTTAGTTATGTGAGGAGGACCAACAATATTCCTGCCCACATCATGTCAAAAATGTCGATGTCTTTTGAGGGAAGTAGAGTATGGTTTGTGAACTTCCCCAAGATTATTACTGACGCTGCTCTTGAAGATTTGAAATGAATGAAGGATTTCTTTTTATGCTTCAAAAAAAAAAAAAAAAAACTTCTGAAACCAGTTTGACTACTCTAAAGGAACTTACTAACACCAAGGTAAAATAATCTTTTACCTAACCTCCCTAATTCACCTAACCTTTTACGAGTTAAATAAAATCAAGTGTAAAGGTATTGTGAGTAATAGGTACCTACTAACCCCAAAATTAATCTCAACTAACTACAAAAGTGGTATAAATCAGCAATGAAGAGATCCAGTACAGAATAGTCATAAAACTATACAACCAAAGAAAAAGTAATCCAACAGAGTAACTTAATTAGCATAATTAGATCATGTTAAGTTTAATTAAGAGTGCAAACTCAACTTAATTGCAGATGGAACTTTGGCAGATGCCATCTGTGATTCAAATTGACCAGGGAAGACATGTGGACACCTTACAAGAAATCCCCCAAGTTTATATGTATTAGTCTGAAAACCGGTGCTATGCACGGCCATAAAAGAATGTTATGAAAAAATAAATAAATAGTTACGGGGATATATAACACATAAAAATTAATAAAGAATATTTTAACCTATGAAATGTCAAACAATTTTTAGCTACCCCTTCCTGCTTCTGCCTTTATAAATCCCATACTTTCCTTGCTAAAAAAAATTTAAAATAAAAAAACAATTTTTAGCGACCATCTACCTAGTATAAACATGCATTACAAAAAAAGTGGTATAACACATAAAACATGTCATATTAAATTGTAATAGATCTAAAACCAAATTATATTTGCTAAATGCCAATTCACTTCTCAACCATCATGTTCAACATTCAGAAAATTCAAAAAGTATTTACAAAAATGTTAAATTCATTTCTTAATCATCATATCATTACAATTGGTATAAAATTCATATAATATCAGATTTCTTTCAAGAAGAATAAAAATAATTATCAAGGTTCTATTTTATATAATTTTAATTTTAAAATTTTAAAATTTTTATTTGTTTATTTGGCCTAAAAACATTTGATAGTCCATGATTTTAAAATTTTCAACTTGGCCTCATATTTGTAAACTAATAATGTAATCCTTTAATTATAAGCAACTTAAGTAATAGAACATTTGGTGAATAGAGGTGAGTAAACTTCTTAATCAAGGTATAGAGTATGACAAATAGAAGCATGCACAGTACATAGCAAAATTGATAAAATTATTTTTATAGTTTAATTTTCATAAAAAACATATGTGTCATCAATGCACT